GTGCCCTTCCAGACAAGGAAACACCAGACGTACCAGTACCACTAGTGAAGTGACAGAGCTGGGTTCTAACTCAGTGCCAATTCTTTTGAGAAATGAGTGAATTCCTCTCCCTCCCTAGAATCTAGGAACTATTTCAAAATTCCTATGACAAATATTTTGAAACCTACTGCAAAGGCTTTGACACGCATCAATTTGAAAGTATCCAGTATTTTTAAAGCTGTATCAATTACAACAGTGGGACAAGTGGTTGAGAATCTGTAAATCTCACAAGGAATTTGGTTTTATTTTGTTCGCAGAATTAGGGATGGAACTTGGAGGACCTCAAATGTCCTGAGGAAATCCTCTCCCACTGAGCTACATCTCTAACCCAGGGGGAACGCATGTTATAATCACCTCAGGACTGAGTCAGAAGACAACCACAGACACTGACAGGAGGAACAGACAAGCATACGGTCCACCATACTTAGGGTCCCACTCTAACAGGCTAGAAAAGCCTGTTAATAAATGCATTAAGTTTAGACAACTAATTATTAATTTACAATAATCTATTATCAACAGCAAAATGAGTTCAACTGAATAACCCTAAGGATTACCTTAGATAATCTTTTATATTAGTAAGCTTTTAGGAATGATTCTCTCAGAATTCTAATTTAGAAGATTTAATAAATCCTTGAAAAAAAAGGAAGCAACTGTGCTTTATAAAATGGAAACCTTCTCCATCACTGGAAGCCAGTAGTAGTTCTAGTGACCACCATGGCTCCTGTAGGGCAGCACTGCCAAGAGCACGAGGCTAAATGGTTAGTGTCCCCGATTACCCACCAGCCAGCTCCAATGTCTGCAGATTTGACTTCTGAAACGAGAGATGTGCAAACGAACACAAAGCTTTGAAAAGGTGTGGTCCTCCACACCTGGTGCAGAACAGGGAACGTGACACTGCATCTCCCCACATATACATCTACACACACTCCTCACAGTCCACAGGAACTGCTCTTTGTTCACTCTTGAATGTTTCAGATTTGTAAATTATTTCTCTGCTTTATTACAATTTAATTTGTTCTTGCCAGGGGTTGTGGCACTTGCCTATAATCCCAGCAACTCGGAAGGCAGGAGGATCACAAGTTCCAGGCCAGCTTGGGCAACTTATAAAAGGGTTGGAGATATAGCTCAGAGGCAGAGCACTTACCTAGCATAAACAATGCTCTGGGTTTGAAAAATAAGTAAAAAATAARTAATATATCTCCTTTTATCTTCATTCTATGTTCACTAGAACTGTCCACGTCATAATTTCTCCAACCACTCTCATCAACAAATGCAAACCTCAGCCACTTAGCAAGGCCCTGAGCAACTTAGCAAGATCCTGTCCCAAAGTTTTAAAAAGGGGTTGGAGAGGTAGCTCAGTGGTACAACACCCCTAGGTTAAATTCCCAGTACCAAAAAATAAAGATAAATGCAAACCTAAAGTTATACTTTTTTTTAAAAGATGGACACAATATATTTATTTACTTACTTACTTACTTACTTACTTATTTTATGTGGTACGAGGATGGATGGAACCCAGTGCCTCACATATGCAAAGGAAAGTGCTCCACCGCTGAGCTATAACCCCAACTCCATGAAGTTAAGACTTCTTTAAATATATTTTTCTTTTTARTTGTAAATGGACACAATACCTTTACTTCATTATTTACTTTTATATGGTGGTGAGGATCAAATCCAATTGCCTTACACATGTGCTAGGCAAGTGCTCTACCACTAAGCTACAACCCCAGCCACCCTGAAGTTAGAATTTAAAACAAGGTTAAGATTCTAAAAATTTTTGTTCCATGTCTATGAGACACTAAAGAGGAGTTTCAAAAAAATATGGTATGCCATATGGTCAAGCCCAGATAATAAAATTGAGAATATCTATTACTAATCCACTAATGCTAAAGCTAAAGTCCACAGACGGTAAGAATTTAATCCAATTTTGAGACTGACATGAGCCAAATCTCGGGCAGAGAAAAACAATCCAATGAAGAAACTATAATAAATKCCAATACTGCACTGCTAAAACAAAATCAATATTATTCATCAAAGTAACTATTAGCAAYAAAACCAAATGATGTTAGTAAGTCTAGAGATACCAGGAAGACCTTCTACATCCCTTTCTCAAAGCCATATATATATCTTTCCAAATAAAATGAATGGATAACAAATTTTTTTTAGTAAAGCAAAAGGTAACAAAGCTTTCATACCTGAGAGCATACCACCTTTTTCAAKAAATTAACTATACCCTCATGAAATCAATTTTGCAAGTGTTCAATAATTCTACCTGGATGACCCAAGCTTTGAAACTATTCTTCTAGGCATAAAAAAGATTTAAAAGACATTTACTCTTTAAAGATAAAAAAGGCAGGGGCTGGGGATGTGGCTCAAGTGGTAGCGCGCTCGCCTGGCATGCGTTCGGCCGGGTTCGATCCTCAGCACCACATACAAACAAAGATGTTGTGTCCGCCAAATACTAAAAAATAAATATCAAAATTCTCTCTCTCTCTCTCTCCCTTTCTTTAAAAAAATAAAAATAAAAAATAAAAAAGGCGGGCTGGGGGTGTAGCTCAGTGGTAGAGCGCTTGCCTAGCATGTGTGAAGCCCTGGGTTGGATTCTCAGCACCATRTATAACTAAGTAAAATAAAGGTCCATTGATAACTAAAAAAAAATGTTTCAAAAATAAAAATAAAAAAGGCAACAC